CTGCGGGTCAGGGGCTCCAGGGGCTGCAGGGCTGGGGTGGCAAGTGGGGCTGGCGTGGGGTTGCGTCCCTGCGGAGCTCTCACACCATCTCTCCTCGCAGCTGGACCCGCAGGCCGTGCAGACGAAGAACTGGCACATGGACGTGATTGAGATGAACGGGGTAAGTGGGGCCGCAGGGACGCGCAGCCCCTCGCTTTGATGGCAGCCCCTTCCCCGGGACTGTGCCATGCCCTCATGCGATGTGGAGGCAATGGGCCAGGGCTGGGTTGCTGGGACTCACCCCCTGTCTCTCGCAGATCAAGGTGGAGTTCTCCATGAAGTTCACGAGCAGAGACATGAGCCTGAAGAGGACCCCGTCCAAAAAGCAGACTGGTGTTTTCGGGGTCAAAATCAGCGTCGTGACAAAGTACGTGTGGGGTTGGGGGGGCTGATCTGCTCTGGTCCCTATGGGCCTGGGGGACTCGGGGGACCTGCTCCGTCCTTGCAGCATGTCTCCTTGGTCCCACCAACACCGGGGGAGCTCAACTTTTGCTCTTTGCTGGGGACTTGCCCGTTCCTTTGCCAGCCCCATCCCTCCCACCCAGCGTGCCCATCCTGCCCCTGGCCCAGGGTTTGCAGGGCTGGGCTGGCCACGGCAGGGTCCCCTGGGAATCTCTGCTCATGCCTCTGCTTTCGGAGCCAGGCGCGAGCGCTCCAAGGTGCCTTACATCGTGCGCCAGTGCATCGAGGAGGTGGAGAAGAGGGGCATCGAAGAGGTTGGCATCTACAGGATCTCTGGCGTCGCCACTGACATCCAGGCATTGAAGGCTGTCTTCGATGCAAGTGAGTGTCCTGGGGGACAGCCACCCTTTGTGTCACGTTCCCGTGGGAGGGTTCACAGGCACCAAGAACCACCCCCAGTCCCCTGCCCTGCAAGCGCAGGGTCTGGTTATTGCACTGCACGTGTGCAAAATGTGCCAGTGTGCCCAGGAAGGGTCTGGGGGTGAGGAGGAGGGTGTAGCTAGGAAATCAAACACCCAGATGTCCCAGCCTTGTTTGTGCCTTGGTGTCTCTGAGCTGCTGCCATGCCTGGCCAGCTCCTGGGAGACACTGACTCAGGGCAACGTTGCAAATGGATTTGCAAATTGTTCCATGTCCCGTTGCCCAGCCAGGCAGGAGCTGCTCAGCTCTTCCCAGCCCCAGCCTGGCTAAACGGGGCCATGGACCCAGCGATGCTGTCCCTGCCCTCCGGCCGGCAGCCTGCCCGGATAGCTGGGGTGGCGCGGGGGGTTGAGACCCAGAGGGGAAGGAGGCACAGGAGCCGTCACACATGGGTGCTCTCTGGACAGATAACAAGGACATCTTGGTCATGCTGAGTGACATGGACATCAATGCCATCGCCGGCACGCTGAAGCTGTACTTCCGTGAGCTGCCCGAACCCCTCCTCACTGACAGACTCTACCCCGCCTTCATGGAGGGGATCGGTAAGGGCTCGGGGGTGGGGAAGGGGTTGGTGCCCAAGCGTGGCTGTTTGGCATTGCCTGCTCCGGGATGGGAGACTCCTGAGGCTCCTTCCCAGCTTGGCCCACTCGGTCCTGGCTGTCCTTGCTGGCTCCAGGCCAGCTTGGGGCTCGTGGTGCTGCTCCCCGGGGCGCAGGCAGAGCCCTGCGGGGTTTGGCCACTCGTGCACCAGCTGCAGGGATGCGTCCGGCCACGGTGGGTCCTGCTGCTGCACAAAATATCACCAGCCCCTGTCCTGAGCCCTCTCCCTCCTTGTCTCCAGCCCTCTCGGATCCTGCTGCCAAGGAGAACTGCATGATGCACCTTCTCCGCTCGCTGCCTGACCCCAACCTCATCACCTTCCTCTTCCTGCTAGAGCACTTGAAAAGGTAACGGCTCGGCTTGGCCCCCTGAGCAGGGCAAGCAGCAGCTCCCACAGGGCCGCCTGGCACAGGCGGGAGGTGCAGGACGGGTCTGTGTTGCTGCTTTGCCGTGGGGATGGGACGTGAGCGGAGTTAGAGCTGCTGTCTGCTTCCCGCGGTGCCGGTGTGGCTGCAGGCTGATCCCAAACTGGAGGCAATGGTGCTGTGCTGGTGCAGACCGGGGCTGCAGGTGGCAGCCGGGGCCAGCAATGGCAGCTCGGTGTCAGGCAGGTGGCAGAGTGCCCCTTTCCTCTTCCAGCCCCTCTGAGAAGGTGCAGCCCCCACTGGGTGCCCACTGC